TGTTATCCAAAATATAACAATTATTACATTTGACCACTTTCTAAATGGCACTGTGTATTCATCACTAGATTTACAAATTCGGTTGCATTTGTGTACTGTATGCTGCATAATGTTTCAAACGCAGGGATTAAGATCACATGTGTATTTGTCTCGTAAAATAAGCCGGAAAAAGCAATCAGCTGTTCACACATTTACTCCCCAGTCTATTGGTGATTGAGTTTGAAAAATACTGGTATGGTCAACGTCATAACTGAAAAGAAACTAAAAGACAATGATAGGAAGACTGAAGACTTTGTATCTCTAACTGATGTTCGTTTCGGGGCGAGTTCATGGTGAGTTAATGTGATTTGCCAATCAGTCCATACACAAATTTGCTGAAATTATTGTAAACAATATTGAATGAGTGAGTGAGTGAGTTAAATTTTAACGTCACATCGGCAATATTTCAGCCATATCGTAATATTGAATGAAGTCTTGGATAAACGTAATGTAACGGATTACAACGTAAGTCCTGACACACAATGAACACTGTTCTAGCCAGATAGTGTACTAACAGGACTACCTTGTGTACTTAAGTACAGATTTGCTTCATACTTCTAGTTGATTTTTCACAACTGTTTATTTGGTTACATACTACTGTAGTTTGAACAACCAAAATAAACTTTAAAAAACACTGCCCACCCGACCACACTATATTTTCAAAAGCCATTGCTTGAACACCAATTCTTTTATATTTTAAGCATTACAAGCTGGGCCACACTGGGATCGTCCTTGAAGGCTTGTTAGGGAGTCATCCATACACTAGTGGGCCTCACATACTGCAAATGCAGAATGGTGACATGGTAGAGCTAGTCTTGACTTGGCAGAAGAGGTTTCTATAGTTGATCAGAGTGTTATGGTGGAGTTGCATGTTCTCAGACAACAGTGCCAGTGCATTCTGTATCTGTTTCTTAACTTGATACAAAATCTGTAGTTGGAGTTAACCAAGTACTGTCCTCCACGAATGTTTGGGATGTAGTGAGGCACTTGTGTATCTGCCATATTGTTATGCTTGACAATAGTCTATGACCATCATGCACTTAACCTCAGTTCAATCGAACATGCTTTCCATCAGTTTTGAATTTGTTTTAATTAATTTGCAATGTCATATTAAAACATGTCGATTTTATGTGACCCATGTCCCTTCTGCTCGTGGTGGAACGCATAAAACCCCATGTACCCTGAGTGACCCATGTCCCCCGAGTGACCCATATCCCCCGAGTGACCCAAATCCCCACCAGTGACCCATGTCCCCCAAGTATCCCATGTCCCCCAAGTAACCCATGTCCCCCGAGTGACCCATGTCCCCCGAGTGACCCATATCCCCCGAGTGACACAAATCCCCACCAGTGACCCATGTCCCCCGAGTGACCCATGTCCCCGGAGTGACCCATGTCCCCGGAGTTACCCATGTACCCTGAGTGACCCATGTACCCTGAGTGACCCATGTCCCCACCAGTGACCCATGTCCCCCGAGTGACCCATGTCCCCACCAGTGACCCATGTCCCCCGAGTGACCCATGTCCCCCAAGTAACCCATGTCCCCACCAGTGACCCATGTCCCCGGAGTGACTCATATCCCCCGAGTGACAGAAATCCCCACCAGTGACCCATGTCCCCCGAGTGACCCATGTCCCCGGAGTGACCCATGCCCCCACCAGTGACCCATGTCCCCGAGTGACCCATGTACCCGGAGTGACCCATGTACCCTGAGTGACCCATGTCCCCGAGTGACCCATGTCCCCACCAGTGACCCATGTCCCCGAGTGACCCATGTACCCGGATGACCCATGTACCCTGAGTGACCCATGTCCCCAGAGTGACCCATGTACCCCGAGTGACCCATGTCCCCACCAGTGACCCATGTTCCCACCAGTGACCCATGTCCCCCGAGTGACCTAAATCCCCACCAGTGACCCATGTCCCCCGAGTGACCTAAATCCCCACCAGTGACCCATGTCCCCTGAGTGACCCATGTCCCCACCAGTGACCCATGTCCCCCGAGTGAACCAAATCCCCACCAGTGACCCATGTCCCCCAAGTGACCCATGTCCCCCAAGTTACCCATGTCCCCACCAGTGACCCATGTCCCCGGAGTGACTCATATCCCTCGAGTGACACAAATCCCCACCAGTGACCCATGTCCCCCGAGTGACCCATGTACCCGGAGTGACCCAAATCCCCACCAGTGACCCATGTCCCCGGAGTGACCCATGTACCCTGAGTGACCCATGTCCCCAGAGTGACCCATGTACCCCGAGTGACGCATGTCCCCATCAGTGACCCATGTCCCCACCAGTGACCCATGTCCCCCGAGTGACCTAAATCCCCACCAGTGACCCATGTCCCCCGAGTGATCCATGTCCCCCAAGTAACCCATGTCCCCCGAGTGACCAATGTCCCTCGATTGACCCATGTCCCCACCAGTGACCCATGTCCCCACCAGTGACCCATGTCCCCGGAGTGACCCATGTCCCCGGAGTTACCCATGTACCCTGAGTGACCCATGTCCCCAGAGTGACCCATGTACCCCGAGTGACCCATGTCCCCACCAGTGACCCATGTCCCCGGAGTGACCCATGTCCCCCAAGTAACCCATGTCCCCACCAGTGACCCATGTCCCCGGAGTTACCCATGTACCCTGAGTGACCCATGTCCCCAGAGTGACCCATGTACCCTGAGTGACCCATGTCCCCAGAGTGACCCATGTACCCCGAGTGACCCATGTCCCCACCAGTGACCCATGTCCCCGGAGTGACTCATATCCCCCGAGTCACAGAAATCCCCACCAGTGACCCATGTCCCCCGAGTGACCCATGTACCCGGAGTGACCCATGCCCCCACCAGTGACCCATGTCCCCGAGTGACCCATGTACCCGGAGTGACCCATGTACCCTGAGTGACCCATGTCCCCAGAGTGACCCATGTACCCTGAGTGACCCATGTCCCCACCAGTGACCCATGTCCCCCGAGTGAACCAAATCCCCACCAGTGACCCATGTCCCCCAAGTGACCCATGTCCCCCAAGTTACCCATGTCCCCACCAGTGACCCATGTCCCCGGAGTGACTCATATCCTTCGAGTGACACAAATCCCCACCAGTGACCCATGTCCCCCGAGTGACCCATGTACCCGGAGTGACCCAAATCCCCACCAGTGACCCATGTCCCCGAGTGACCCATGTACCCGGAGTGACTCATGTACCCTGAGTGACCCATGTCCCCACCAGTGACCCATGTACCCCGAGTGACCTAAATCCCCACCAGTGACCCATGTCCCCCGAGTGACCCATGTCCCCCGAGTGACCCATGTCCCCCAAGTAACCCATGTCCCCCGATTGACCCATGTCCCCACCAGTGACCCATGTCCCCACCAGTGACCCATGTCCCCCGAGTGACCCATGTACCCTGAGTGACCCATGTACCCCAGAGTGACCCATGTCCCCTGTGTGACCCAAATGCCCACCAGTGACCCATGTCCCCCGAGTGACCCATGTACCCTGAGTGACCCATGTACCCCAGAGTGACCCATGTCCCCTGAGTGACCCATGTCCCCCGAGTGACCCAAATCCCCACCAGTGACCCAGGTCCCCCGAGTGACCCATGTACCCTGAGTGACCCATGTACCCCAGAGTGACTCATTTCCCCAGAGTGACCCATGTCCCCAGAGTGACTCATGTCCCCCGAGTGACCCATGTCCCCTGAGTGACCCATGTACCCCGAGTGACCCATGTACCCCGAGTGAACCATGTACCCCGAGTGACCCATGTACCCCGAGTGATCCATGTCCCTAGAGTGACTCATGTCCCCAGAGTGACCCATGTACCCCGGAGTGACCCATGTCCCCCGAGTGACCCATGTACCCAGAGTGACCCATGTACCCCGAGTGACCCATGTCCCCAGAGTGACCCATGTACCCCGAGTGACCCATGTCCCCAGAGTGACCTATGTACCCCGAGTGACCCACATACGACGAGTGACCCATCTCCCCCGAGTAACCCATGTCCCCCGAGTGACCCATGTCCCCATAGTGACCCATGTACCCCCGAGTGACCCATGTCCCCAGAGTGACCCATGTAACCCGAGTGACCCATGTCCCCTGAGCGACCCATGTCCCCAGAGTGACTCATGTTCCCAGAGTGACCCATGTACCCTGAGTGACCCATGTACCCCGAGTGACCCATGTACCCCGAGTGACCCATGTACCCCGAGTGACCCATGTACCCCGGAGTGACCCATGTCCCCTGAGTGACCCATGTACCCCGAGTGACCCATGTACCCCGAGTGACCCATGTCCCCCGAGTGACCCATGTCCCCCGAGTGACCCATGTCCCCCGAGTGACACATGTCCCCCGAGTGACACATGTCCCCAGAGTAACCCATGTCCCCCGAGTGACCCATGTCCCCCAGTGACCGATGTACCCCGAGTGACCCATGTCCCCCAAGTGACAACGTGTTGTTTATTTCTTATATGAGATATCAACATTATTGACCCAATGTCACTTAGTGTCAATAGTCTAATAAAGAAATTTCACTAACCTGCCACATCTCATCAAGTTGCTTACATTAACCCTCAGTAGTCCAGGCATATGCCAGCCAGTCTATGCTGTTACAGTTAGACAAACACACTACTCCAAACTTCCTTGTCAACTACAACAACACATGCATCTGTAGGTTAAAAAACACTGACTGACAATGACGTATCATTTCATCACGCCACCAATAACACATGCTAAAGTAGCTTTGATTGGTCAGCAACATCAGCACAAGGATGTCGCAAAACTTTCCCGATACAGTGGAGGCTACTGTTAGCCACTTGCAATAATTTCGAAGGTGTGAATCTTTCCAGATCCACATTATACATTCACCATAGAAACAAGACTTGCTGCAGGGAGGGAGGGCAAATTGATGACTATTAAAATGTTTATTAATCAGTTATTTATTTAAGCAACATATACTCACCTTCCTTAGTCTGCAGAGTCACTGCATTGCTCTCATAATCCAGTGGACGGATGACAATGTTTACATAATTGAACTGCCCCTGAAAGACAATACAAGGTGGTGAGCAAGTGAGTGTTGTGCTAGTGATGTGGGATACCACGTACTCAATATCAAACACACCTGTGGGAATCATGTAGTACAATATTAAACCTGTTCAAGTCCTATTCCTCTAGCTACATCAATAAGTAAGTTCTACACACTTCTGGCTGAATGATATCACTTCCAGGGTTTGTGAGCTTGACCTTCAAAGTCTACCAAACATCTGCTACAAAGATCACCTCAACATATACATGTCCTAGCCTGCTTGAATAGGAAAATTTGAACAAGAACAGTGTGCATCTGCTTGACAAAGTGGATATTCAACTGACAGGTGCAACCTAACAAACCCTTGTCATACACTGACTTTATGATTTCATGGAGAGCTTAAAACCCCTGAAGTGAAGCACTGAGTGAGTATGATTTTACGCCGCTTTCAGCACTATTCCAGCAATATCATGGTAGGAGACACCAGAAATGGGATTCACAAATTGTACCCATGTTGGGAATAGAACACAGGTTTTCGGCGTGACGAGGGAATGGTTTAACCACTGGGCTACACCACCGCCCCTAAAACCTCTTAACCCCCTGGATGCCACAGGGACATATTTGTCCCTCCTCTACAACCCTCACCCACACAAATACACTTCACAGTTTTGAATAAGGTGGGAAATTCCCTGTTCTGTGGTATCATCTACTGGCATTTGAGGCCAAGCAAAAGTACTGAAAATGACCTCTGATGTTGCCATGTTTTACACATTACTAAATCACCACTCACGGCGTTATTTACAGCATGTTTTGAAATCTAAATTTCGGATTTTTACTCGGAGAAATGAATTTCAAAAATAGCATATTAGTGATTACGGGTATCTGTCTTTTATGAATTCACCAATGATCATTCCAAAATGTCTCCCATAACCCTAGAATCGTTTAGAATGTTTTGGAAAATACGCAAACACGAACGCCGAAGTGAACTTTCCGCCATATTGGATAGTGTAATCACGTTTCAGGTACACCGGTAATGAGGCGCCTGTAACATCACGTATATTTCAAACTTATCTGCGATACACACATCCTTGAAATCCTCAGACATTTTAGAATCAAATGACCAATGGTCTTTGTCACCAATACAAAGTGGCTGGATGATATCAACCAAAATAAGTTAGGTGTGAAAACGAATGCTGTGCCTGAAAAACTGCACTTGTTTGAAATGTAAACAAAGCAAAATACAGATGTTACAGTGTAGCATTTTCTCCTATTTTGAGCTATCCGTTCGTCTATTCGTTCAAAATATTGGCTCAACATTTTCAGAATATGCATGGGAAGAGAATCGTAGGAAGAATTAGGGAATTTAAAATAGATACATTGTAATGATTTGATATTTTGAACAGAAATTGTCAAAGTTACCGTCCTGTGTGATGCCATGACTGGCGCAAAATCATGCACAACGACAACGGTATTTATCGGAATTTCTGACTATTTCCGTTTGTTTCAATGAAAATTATAACGACAAATAAAAGTATATAGATTGTCAGAATGTTTCTGATTAATGACATGTCATATGTCATTATGTTCATACGATCCCTGAATCAACGAAAGTCCCCTAGTAAAATCCTGCGTACTGAACAAATATATGTCCAATATTGGATATAATTTTGGTTGTTTTGAAATATTCTTTTGTGTATTTCATTACGTAAATTGATGCCAAACAGGTGCGTGTCTTGTCCAATTAAGATACACTATAAACTATCTAATTGTTAACATATTCAAGACATTATTTACTTGGTGAAAGCAGTCATTTTATGTTGTGTCGAAAAAGTGTCAAATTCCATTTTACACATCAAGATTTTCCATACCATGAACAAAAATTAAGGGAGATATATATTTATCAAAATACCAGTGTCGTCTTTCTCTGATGATATCAAAGGCATAAAACCAGCCATGACGTCAAATAGAATGGTGTTATTTTTTGGGTATTTCATTACATTTGATGATAAGGCTAGTGCTCCATTAATAATGATGTAACATTAGTCAAATTACACTTACACAATCAGGAGAATGTTGGAATCTAAGGACTAAGTTATAGGTGAGATAGGGCCATCCATTTCTCTATTACCTCTTTTTTATGATGCACGATTTCATTACATCTTATGGTTGTTTTTTTTATAACTAACATATACAGTTTCCTTATCAATATTTGTGTTGAAATAGTTTGGTGCCTCGTGAACAAAACACCACGAAAATATATTATCCTCACCCACAGCTTATTCTCACCAAGTGACCTGAGTTACAATAAACTAGTGCTAAGCATAGCAGAGTTATGCCCCCTTTTCTTTGTATGCGTGTAACCTCTCTGTCGCCTTTTGACGTCATAGAGAAAAATCAGTTTTCGTCATTCACGGCAAGCTATTTTTGGCATTGAATGTATGTCGTTATACATACACATATAACTCCATTTGATATATAGTTATGTAGTTCAGATATTAGGCAGTATTTTGTTCGTCACAGATTCCGTAAAGATTCTAAATAAAAAAAAATCGCCGCACAGTACTTTTATCGGTGACGATAAAAAGCGGAGAAATTTACTGTTTTTCAACAAAGAATAAATTCTCGGACAACACTTAGATGTGTATTTTTTTAAAACCAGTTTAATATTTGCAGTTAACTTTACACCATCAAATAGGAAATTTAATATTCTCCACATCTGCGTAATTTTATAGCCAGAGGTAGATCCAGTGCCGCATGAGCGCAATTCTCGCACAACCTTCACTTTTCCAATGTTAGAAAAATGTGCGTCAGAAAAAAACCTCGGCATCCAGAGGGTTAAATAAGACCTATCTGTACAAGGCTGTTGAAAGACCACAGGCTATTGTACACAAACCCATTCAACTAAATATGATGATCTGAAAAGAGGCCACATGTATGATCTAAAACACCCACATCACAATCATTGTCGTTCACTACAAATTCAACATATGCAAAGAAGTGACAGCTAGCCTCAGTCTCCAACTGACTTATAAAACTTAACCTACATCCATCTGTGCAGGTGACTTGGTTGATGATGCCATTGTATCCCAATTACAGAGATCGATACTCGTTATGTCAATCACTGGATTGTCTGGTCCAGCCTCTATTACTTACAGACTGCCATCATACACAGACAATCCATTGTGCATCCTAATGTAGTGTGTGTCATGCCAACTACCACAGGCCATACCTTGATGGTTCCCATCTTGTACTCTTCACCACTGTCATTGTACACGATCGTCACAAAGTCATTTCCAATGTGCAGTTTCTTAGCATTGCAGTTGGGATCAGACTCTCTGTTTGGCATTAAAGTAGCCACATGGAAAATAACTGAAAGGAACACAAATGTGGTGCTGGTAATAATGCCAGTTGTATGAGGTGTATATCATCCCTCCTGAGTACTCCAGCAATCAGTACCAACAAGCAGGGGCAAAAGCTGGGACAACAAAAAGGGACAACAGGCTGGGGCAACAAGCAGGAACCACAGGCTTGGGCAACAGGCTTGGGCAACAAGCAGGGGCAACAAGCAGTGGCAACAAACAGGGACAACAGGCTGGGGCAACAAGCAGGGACCACAGGCTTGGGCAACAGGCTTGGGCAACAAGCAGGGGCAACAAGCTGGGGCAACAAGCTGGGGCAACAATCAGGGGCAACAGGCTGGGGCAATAAGCAGTGGTAACAAGCAGGGGCAAAAGCTGGGACAACAAACAGGGACAACAGGCTGGGGCAAAAAGCAGGAACCACAGGCTTGGGCAACAGGCTTGGGCAACAAGCTGGGGCAACAAGCAGGGGCAACAGGCTGGGGCAACAAGCAGTGGCAACAGGCTGGGGCAACAAGCAGGGCCAACAAGCAGGGGCAACAGACTGGGGCAACAAGCAGGGACAACAGGCTGGTGCAACAAGCTGGGGCAACAAGCAGGGACAACAAGCATTGGCAACAAGCAGAGGCAACAAGCAGGGGCAACAAGCAGTGGCAACAAGCAGGGACAACAGGCTGGGGCAACAAGCTGGGGCAACAAGCAGGGACAACATGCATTGGCAACAAGCAGAGGCAACAAGCAGGGGCAACAAGCAGTGGCAACAAGCAGGGACAACAGGCTGGGGCAACACGCAGAGGCAACAAGCAGTTGCAACAAGCAGTGACAACAAGCAGGGACAACAAGCAGGGACAACAGACAAGGGCAACAAGCAGGGACAACAGGCTGGGGCAACAAGCACTGGCAACAAGCAGGGGCAACAAACAGGGACAACAGGCTGGGTCAACAAGCAGTGGCAACAAGCAGTGACAACAGGCAGGGTCAACAAGCAGTAGCAACAAGCAGGGGCAACAGGCTGGGGCAACAAGCTGGGGCAATAAGCAGTGGCAACAAGCAGGGACAACAGGCTGGGGCAACAAGCAGTGGCAACAAGCAGTGGCAACAAGCAGGGACAACAGGCTGGGGCAACAAGCAGGGACAACAGGCTGGGGCAACAAGCAGTGGCAACAGGCTGGGGCAACAAGCAGTAGCAACAAGCAGGGACAACAGGCTGGGGCAACAAGCAGGGACCACAGGCTTGGGCAACAGGCTGGGGCAACAAGCAGGGGCAACAAGCTGGGGCAACAATCAGGGGCAACAGGCTGGGGCACCAAGCGGTGGCAACAGGCTGGGGCAATAAGCAGTGGCAACAAGCAGGGGCAACAAGCTGGGGCAACAAGCAGTGGCAACAAGCAGGGACAACAAGCTGGGGCAACAAGCAGTGGCAACAAGCAGAGGCAACAAGCAGTGGCAACAAGCAGTGGCAACAAGCAGGGACAACAGGCTGGGGCAACAAGCAGGGGCAACAGGCTTGGACAACAGGCTGGGTGAACAAGCAGTGGCAACAAGCAGGGACAACAGGCTGGGGCAACAAGCACTGGCAACAAGCAGGGGCAACAAGCAGGGACAACAGGCTGGGTCAACAAGCAGTGGCAACAAGCAGGGACAACAGGCTGGGTCAACAAGCAGTGGCAACAAGCAGGGGCAACAGGCTGGGGCAACAAGCAGGGGCAATAAGCAGTGGCAACAAGCAGGGACAACAGGCTGGGGCAACAAGCAGTGGCAACAAGCAGGGACAACAGGCTGGGGCAACAGGCTGGGGCAACAAACAGGGACAACAGGCTGGGGCAACAAGCAGTGGCAACAGGCTGGGGCAACAAGCAGTGGCAACAAGCAGGGACAACAGGCTGGGGCAACAAGCAGGGGCAACAAGTAGGTGCAACAAGCAGGGGCAACAAGTAGGTGCAACAAGCAGTGGCAACAAGCTGGGGCAACAAGCTGGGGCAACAAGCAGGGGAACTTCAAAACATATGGGGTCACTCCATACTTTAGATTCTTCAGTGTTGCTTATTTAAGAAATAAACGACGAATGGGAGTTGTTTATCGTAAAACACTGCATGGTTTATTCTCCCTGCTGTGTTTTATTGTATTATTAACAACTCCCACTCATTGTTTATTTCTTATATGTGATATCAACATTATGTACGGCCTCTTTAAGGATGATGATAAAATATACAAGCTTTACAAATATTTACCCGTATCTACATAATGATGACTCCCTTAATAGAATTCGACCTCGGCAATGTCCATTAATGCACAGGAGGGTATTTCCCAGATACTCTCACAATCCTCATGTCGATTACCTGTACCTTTTCTCTCAACACCGATTGTCATATCTCTCCCGTTCATGACAACAATGTTTTATCGTGAAAAAAACACACACTTCATTCTACATTGTTCTTTGTGATATTGCATCGCTATCTTATGTATACATATATACACTTTTTTTTAACATGTTAGGAAATGTGTTGAAATATTGGTGTCCTAATCTTTAGTGTGGTTCACGAAAGGACAAAAGTTGCCCCAGAGATAATGTTCGAGGTGAGGAGATATAACATTTTCAAGTTTATTGCACTATTATAGTGACATGCATGTACATATGTGTGTGGCTTCTTGTCCAGACTTATGCAAGTTTAATAGTGCTAGATTATTACAGATATTCCACTCAGACACAACATACTAACAACGAGTCAACCAGTCCTTTTTTAATCCTCTTAATGTCAACTACCAGGCAGGGAAACAACAAGTACCAACTTTTGTATGATACAGCTGGTGGATCATATTCAGAGCATTAAACATGGAAACAGTGCCAATCAACCACCATGCACAACAGGGCTTCAGGTTGGCTAATTTTCTTGAACACTGACTGATAAAGATCCAAAATGTCTGAATGACTTTTGTTCATTCCAATTTTTGCAGTAATGCAGTTTCATGGTATCAATCAATCAATTGTCACCAGAGTGATCCAATTACCTTCTGACATATATCTAATGGCAAGTTTGTATTCAAAATGGAACTGACAAACAAGCATATAAATCATAAATATTTATTACATATAACAATGTAACAACATAAGGTTTTGCAACACTGTTTTCACAGAGAATACCTTTATTCTAAGGATTAACATGTCTTATTCTAAGGATAAACATGTCTTATTCTAAGGATAAACATGTCTTGAAATAAGTCAGAGGAAAAATCAATGTCCAATGTGCGTGTTACCTTGCATGGACTCATCCAGCCAGCTGTAGGCAAACCGGCCATCACTTCCGGTCAGTGCCAGACCTCCAACATATATGCGATCAGGGTCAATTTCCTGCAGGTGTATTAGCTCTCCAAGTCCTTGCACAAACCGTGCATAGCGTGGGGAACCAAACAGATTGCACAGGATCCCTTTCTCATCCGTCACCTGCAACACAAACCAGTACAGCAACAATAATGGCAACACACAAACCAGTGCAGCAGCAACAAATCAAACAGAGACGGACACAGCAACAACTAATCAAACACAGGCCAAAACAGCAACAACTAATAAAACATAGGCCAACACAGCAACACCTAATCAAACATAGGCCAACACAGCAACAACTAATCAAACATAGGCCAACACAGCAACAACTAATCAAACAAAGGCCAACACAGCAACAACAAATCAAACACAGGCCAACACAGCAACAACTTATCAAACACAGACCAGTGCAGCAACAACAAATCAAACACAGGCCAACACAGCAACAAATTATCAAACATAGGCCAACACAGCAACACCTAATCAAACATGGGCCAGTGCAGCAACAACTAATCAAACAAAGGCCAAACACAGACCAGTGCAGCAACAACAAATCAAATGCAGGCCAACACAGCAACAACTAATCAAACATGGGCCAACACAGCAACACCTAAATCAAACACAGACCAGTGCAGCAACAACAAATCAAACGCAGGCCAACACAGCAACAACTAATCAAACACCGACCAATGCAGCAACAACAAATCAAACACAGACCAGTGCAGCAACAACAAATCAAACGCAGGCCAACACAGCAACAACTAATCAAACACAGGCCAACACAGCAACATCTAATCAAACACAGACCAGTGCAGCAACAACTAATCAAACACAGACCAGTGCAGCAACAACAAATCAAACGCAGGCCAACACAGCAACAACTAATCAAACATGGGCCAACACAGCAACACCTAAATCAAACACAGACCAGTGCAGCAACAACAAATCAAACGCAGGCCAGTGCAGCAACAACAAATCAAACACAGACCAGTGCAGCAACAACAAATCAAACACAGACCAGTGCAGCAATAACAAATCAAACACAGACCAGTGCAGCAACAACTAATCAAACACAGACCAGTGCAGCAACAACAAATCAAACGCAGGCCAACACAGCAACAACTAATCAAACATGGGCCAACACAGCAACACCTAAATCAAACACAGACCAGTGCAGCAACAACAAATCAAACGCAGGCCAACTCAGCAACAACTAATCAAACACCGACCAATGGAGCAACAACAAATCAAACACAGACCAGTGCAGCAACAACAAATCAAACGCAGGCCAACACAGCAACAACTAATCAAACACAGACCAGTGCAGCAACAACTAATCAAACACAGACCAGTGCAGCAACAACAAATCAAACGCAGGCCAACACAGCAACAACTAATCAAACATGGGTCCAACACAGCAACACCTAAATCAAACACAGACCAGTGCAGCAACAACAAATCAAACGCAGGCCAACACAGCAACAACTAATCAAACACCGACCAATGCAGCAACAACAAATCAAACACAGACCAGTGCAGCAACAACTAATCAAACACAGACCAGTGCAGCAACAACAAATCAAACGCAGGCCAACACAGCAACAACTAATCAAACATGGGTCCAACACAGCAACACCTAAATCAAACACAGACCAGTGCAGCAACAACAAATCAAACGCAGGCCAACACAGCAACAACTAATCAAACACCGACCAATGCAGCAACAACAAATCAAACACCGACCAATGCAGCAACAACTAATCAAACGCAGGCCAACACAGCAACACCTAATCAAACATAGGCCAGTGCAGCAAAAACAAATCAAACGCAGGCCAACACAGCAACAACTAATCAAACACCGACCAATGCAGCAACAACAAATCAAACGCAGGCCAACACAGCAACAACTAATCAAGCAAAGACCAACACAGCAACACCTAATCAAACATAGGCCAGTGCAGACACAACAAATAAAAAGCAGGCCAACACAGCAACAACTAATCAAACACAGACCAGTGCAGCAACAACAAATCAAACGCAGGCCAACACAGCAACAACTAATCAAGCATGGGTCCAACACAGCAACACCTAAATCAAACACAGACCAGTGCAGCAACAACAAATCAAACGCAGGCCAACACAGCAACAACTAATCAAACACCGACCAATGCAGCAACAACAAATCAAACACAGACCAGTGCAGCAACAACAAATCAAACGCAGGCCAACACAGCAACAACTAATCAAACGCAGGCCAACACAGCAACACCTAATCAAACATAGGCCAGTGCAGCAAAAACAAATCAAACGCAGGCCAACACAGCAACAACTAATCAAACACCGACCAATGCAGCAACAACAAATCAAACGCAGGCCAACACAGCAACAACTAATCAAGCGCAGACCAACACAGCAACACCTAATCAAACATAGGCCAGTGCAGACACAACAAATAAAAAGCAGGCCAACACAGCAACAACAAATCAAACACAGGCCAACACAGCAACAACAAATCAAACACAGGCCAACACAGCAACAACAAATCAAACACAGACAAGTGCAGCAATAACAAATCAAACACAGACCAGTGCAGCGACAACAAATTAAACGCAGGCCAACACAGCAACAACTAATCAAACGCAGGCCAACACAGGAACAACTAATCAAACGCAGGCCAACACAGCAACAACAAATCAAACACAGACCAGTGCAGCAACAACAAATCAAACACAGACCAGTGCAGCAACAACAAATGAAACGCAGGCCAAAACAGCAACAACTTATCAAACACAGGCCAACACAGCAACAACAAATCAAACACAGACCAGACCTAATTTATTTCCTTGCATTCGGACAAGACAACATAAGGCAACCGATAAAATAAAATATTTATTGTTTTTGGGTTGATTGGGGATTCTCGTAGAGCCGGTAGCACCCTGTTTATTGACAAAATAGAACGGTACTGCTTTACCCCCATGGGTAATCTAACTAAGGGTGTGCTACGTGACAGAATTGAGATACGCCTTCAGTCGGCTGTAGTCTGACGCCCGACAACCGATACCCTGACGGGTATAACTTTCTACAGATGACAGTGTAGCTGGACAACGATACCCCGACGGGTATAAACTAGCTACATAAACTGTGTAGCCAACCGACAATACCCCGGCGGGTGTAGCCGACTGAAGGTGTATGCCCTACCAAAGCAACTGTGAATTGTTGAAGATAATTTTGGGGTAATACATGCCCAAAACGAAGTTATGAAATAACTGAGAATCCCCAAAATGATGAAACAGATATAACAAACAAAAGGGGTTATAATATATAAACATGGTTGACTGGAAGTGAAATGTAGCACATAGGGGGTGTACGGTCTGCACACCCTATCGTGACAAGTACAGGTCTTGCCAACACTAGAAAAGGTGTGTGAACATATCCATGAAAGTCTCTGCAGTCATTGTTCAATAACATAACATATGTCTCTGGCACACAATGCATCAGGAAACTAATAACCATGTGAGGTTACAACCGTGCCATGGCCAGCTGGGCTTGATGGATGCTCCGTTGTTCTGTGCGTATGTAGCGGTTGTAGCAGTCCGACGACCAACGTCCCAAGGTTTTGATCATATGATCTGGAATGCCTGCCGTTGCTGCAGTGGTGGCTGCACCAATTCTAAATGAATGTCCATTGTAATTTGTGTGGTCATACCCGGATCTGTGCAACACTAGTTTTAGATGGTCAATGAAAAATGTCCTGTCCATGGCTACACCATTAGGCATGAGGAACAGCGGATCTAAAGGATTTGACGTCCTCTGGTTGCGAAGAACAAGGTATTGCAGGAGGGTCCTAACTGGGCAGCATAACAGGGTCTCGTACAGCCTGTGTAAGGTGATGATGACGCCTTTCCGGAATGGATCTGTCTTCGAAGCCTTCAGACACACAAACGCTGTAGAAAGCTCATTGTTAAATAAAACGGAGTTGATAGACGAGTGTATTGTTGGATTATAAGCGTCACAGGTGAGTTCGCCACATCTCAAGAAAGCGAAAAAAGCCATACAACAGGCCGTCTTCATGAGTAGATCAATATATGGGTTAAACACACCTTGGTTTAGCTTGATGCACATATCTGAAAGAACTGTAATTGAGATTGGCAGTCTGGTCCTGGAGGAACTGCCCTGCAGCTTTTTGATAGCCTTGATGATTGTCTCGAGGCGAGTTGTTGAGCCATTGATCCAGGGGTTGGTCATATCGTACTTGAGGTACATGAACCTAATACCACACAAATATGTCTTGATGGTGGCATAACGCAGCTTCAGGGTGTAATGGCAGTAGGTCACAAAATACAGTAGGACATCTTCTGTGAGGTTGGGTAGATTCGCGAACGAACACACTATACCACAGGTCATCAAGAACCCCAGGAATACGTTGCATCCAGCCTGATAGACGGTGTGGGTCGATGAAGCTAGTGCGCTGTTCCATAGTTCGTCCAGATTCCTGTTTAGGGGTACAGTAGCTGCGACAAAGGAGGGCACTGAGTGGGGGTCTTGTCGGCGAAAGGGGCTAGATCCCTGAATCTCTCCATCTGCAACCGAGACAAGGCGTCAGCTATAGTGTTATCGACACCCGGTACATGAAGGGCAGAGAACACAAAGTTACAATTGATAGCTACGAAGGTGAGTCTACGCATAAATTGCATAATGGTGACACATTTTGATCTTCCCCTATTAATGATTTCAACAGTTGCTGTATTGTCACAATAAAATCTGATGGATTTCTTTCCCCACAGGTGACCCCAGAGCACTGCTGCATTGATGATAGGAAATAGTTCAAGCAATGCCATGGATTTGTCCTTTTGTAACAATGTAGATAATTCCTCTGACCAAGCTGCAGCGAACCACCGGCCTTGAAAATAACCTCCATAACCTACAGTACTGGAGGCGCCTGTGAATAGGCTAAAGTCTGGGGCACTGATAAGTTGGTCCATAAACATTGTGACTCCATTCCAATGTTGGAGAAAGAATCTCCACATTTTAAGGTCCTGTGAACACTGTTTGTTAAGAGAGACCATATGATGTAGTTCTTTGACTGAATGCGCTTTTCACAACAGGTAACTCATGAAGGACCTGCCCGGGCGAATAACTTGCATAGCATAGTTCATGTGTCCAAGGAGTACTAGGAGTTGTCTCTTGCACACTTTCTACTTCCCTTCGATGGAATCCATGACTTGAATCAGTCTATCAACTTTCTCGTAGGGAAGATGGGATTCCATTCTGATAGTGTCCAGGGTAATCCCTAGATAATCCATGCACTGGGAAGGACCTACGGTTTTCTTTGCCGACTGTGGAATGTTTAGGTCTTTGAAGAGTAGCATCAAAGCTGCCATAGTCTTTACACCTGTGTGTAGGCAGTTCTCGAAGCATATAAAATCATCCAGGAGATGTAGAATGTTGTGAATGCCATAGTGATAGGTTGCTACCCAGCAAACAGCCTGTGATAGGAGATCGAATATCTTGGGGCTAGATCGAGAGCCAAAAACTAACCTGGTGTAAAAGTAGTACTTGTCCTGCCAATAAATGCCATGGAGATGCCACAAATTTGGATGTATAGGGATTAACTTGAATGCATGAGTAATATCCGTTTTACACATGTAAGTGCCCTGGTCTAGGGCTTTGATGATGTTGATAGCATCGTCCACGCGCACATATGATAATGAATAGTCCTCCTTGTCAATGAGAGAGTTCAAACTGGGATTGTCTTGATCATTGTGCGGGGCTGATAAGTCAACTATTAGTCTGTTTTTCTTTGAGTACTTCCCTTGAACGACACCGACTGGGTTGATTCTGTAGCTTGGAAAGGGTGGGGGGTTGAAGGGTCCTATGACGTAGCCTTTCTGCACTTCACTGAGGATGAGATTGGTCTTGATTTCAGTGTCGTGTAGAGCTGAGCGCAGATTCTTGCATTGAATAGAATTAGACAGACAATACTGCACACCTGTGTGGAAACCTGAATCGAGGCCTGATATCAGTTGGTTAACAAACTGTTGATCTGGATGTTGTCGGAGCAGTTGTTGCAAGGTAGGCACGTTAATCGGTGAAGTAGTCGAATACAGTCACTGTTTCTTGCTTTTCCTGGCAGAAGACTGGAACGGCTTGTCCAAGACCTCCTCGCACTTATGACCCGGATGTGGCTTCCTGCATAGTGTACATACGTGTAGATACCTGCATGATGGATAGATGCACTTGCCCTCATTGAAGTTTTTACATAGTGCGCGTCCATTGTGGAATCTGATGGTTCTACCCATTGAATCAGCTTGAGGGCCGGTCCTTGTTGCCGTTGCTTGTGGACTGGTTCGTGCCAGATTGGGAGTCTTGTGCGAAGATGACGGTCTGCGGCTGCTGACTAGTGGACAGAAGTCTGTGCTGTGGTCGGACAAGAAGCACAGTTCACAGGCATTGACACGGTGCCCAGCTACCATAGTAAAATACAAGTGTTCATCATGTCGATCCCATGGTGGTAAATGATTGGTAAGTGCTAGAGCTGCTGCTGCTTTAGGTTAGAATGTTTTGTGGTATTGGTAGAAAAGTGTACCTCCAAACCTGGCATGCATTTCTACAATCAACTGTTGATACCGGTCCAAAGAGTCTTTTCGGCCTAGCCATTCCTGCACCATTATGTTCCTATACCGGGTGAATGCTACAATAAACTCTTGAATGGTCAAGACGTTTTGTAGTCTGTTGTCAGTAGAGGACTTTAGGTGGAGTTCATGGTTGCCCACCTCAATCACTCTCGGATGCGAAGAAATATCGTCTGGCATCAAGAGACATGCCAGATTCACATCTTTCCCTTCAATTATTTGTTTCCGAAGGGAAGCCGACACAACCTCGACATCCATCAAAGACGAATATGAACTGGTATTAGGTGAATTACCTTGGTATTGGGAAACATGTTCCGATGCTGGCAAAGCTGTATATAACGTGAAATTGCCAGTGGCTGGTCGACTGCCTCGCCCTGTTGTAGATGGCTGCGGTACGTTTGCCTGTAACTGTTGGAGTGTACTGGGGGGTGTATCAGATTGTCCAAGTGGTATGCTATTGCTTGCACTAGGCTGATTGTGCATGGGTAGGAAGGAGTTTGTGATGAGGTTCACAGAATCCTGCAGTTTTCGAACTGTCTGTGCCAGTGAATGGAAGTCCCTGTCAGGTTCGGATTCTGGCATCAGGGCAGCTATGTTTGTAACGGATGACTGTCCTCCGGTGTTGATAGGAGAGTTGACTGTTGAAGCGGGTCCACTAGTGTCCCTTCGGTAATCGACAACGGAATTGTCCACTTTCCTTGTCCCTGGGGAGGTCGCCTGTTTAGCTTCCATGTTCTCCATATAGAAACGAATGAGGTGCGGCAGTTTGCAATTCCCGGGCATTTTGGAAATGCCAAGATCCTGTTTTATACGCTTTTGTACTGTCGCTATCGTCCAATTGAGAGGATTCTCATCCGGCGCACTGGCTGGAACGACTCCCACATATCTATGGCGAGCGGCTCGATTTCTGTTGACAAAGTCGCCATCGTCTGCGCCATTCTTTGGATCGGCACCTGCGGTCTGCGATCTTGATCTGGTGGATCGTCGTCGACTGCCTCGGCTTGCCATGCTGAGCCACGTGCCTGTGATCAATGCAAGGTTACTTCCGAAGGCACGACTGTCTGTATGTCACACAAACGCGGCGATGTTGAAACATTGGACTTCGATGTCGGATAATGTTTGCACTTAAAATTACACGAGACACGATTAATGGCTGACTGGGTAAAACAAAGGGAAAAGTTGCGCATGCGCACGACCTATGTTTACCTGGCTAATACCAAAATAAGGATTGATAAACGAACCGTGGTTGAACTGCGCATGCATATTACATAGTTAAAAACTACCAATTACGGACTGATACACGGACTTTGATTATAATGGGGCATTAGGATAATTAAGTTCTGTCATACTAATAGGACTAATATTTTATAAACAGTGATTGCAGCCGCTGTGTATTCCCATAGTTTTAACCAAATAGGAATATATGAAAAGGAAAGTGATCATACTGTTGTGATGCGATGTAAGGTTATTTAAACCAGGTTGGAGATACGCGTATGAGGTATAAATTGTGTGCTATGTACATGAAGGGACCTTGCCCAACCAGAGGATGCCATAAAACTATACTAAAATATTTAAGTACTAATCAAACATGGGCCAGTGCAGCAACAACTAATCAAACACAGGCCAACACAGCAACCCCTAATCAAACATAGGCCAGTGCAGCAACAACAAATCAAACACAGACCAACACAGCAACACCTAATCAAACACAGACCAGTGCAGCAACAACTAATCAAACAGAGGCCAACACAGCTTCAACTTATCAAACACAGGCCAACACAGCAACAACTAGTCAAACACAGACCGGGTAGCAACAACAAATCAAACACAGGCCAACACAGCAACAACTAATCAAACACAGACCAACACAGCAACACCTAATCAAACACAGACCAACACAGCAACACCTAATCAAACATAGACCAAATGATTATTGGAATCAATTAGCACAAATTTAACTTGAAAGGTGTTTGCATTACAGAAGGAGCCCCATCCCCATCTGAATGCCATCAGATATATATAACATGTACCATTTAGACTTCAGCACATCAGCTGGGTGATGAACACAAAAGTATCTGTCTATTGCTACCTAAAGGGAAGGTCAAAAGCACTACTGGTTTGGGAAAACACATGACCAAAGCAGTACAACTTTGAAACAGAAAGTCAGATCCGATTATAGGTTTATAAGCTGGAATATATACAGCAGGCTGTCTAAGAAGTGTGGTGCTAGAAAATTCAGGAGGCTAAAGGTTATCAGAGGTAAACATGCCATAGACAAGACTGGCTTACCTGGTTTGGGCCAACATATATCACACCAATCTTGTGAGTTTCATATGGGTGAATGTGGTCCAACATCCGCAGAGCACGGTTTATAGTCTGAAGGATGAAATTAAAGCAATGTATGTGAGCACTTTATCATACAAAACTGGTTCCCGTAGGAGATATCATCGCTTGGGTGAGATAAAGTGATATCTGCATTGTAGATATCGCTTTTATAAATCACTGATTCCCCCCCCCCCCCCGGCATATTTTGATTTAAGAATGATATTGGGTGATAAATAAAATCTCACCCTTGTGTCTTTTGATATCAAATAAATCAACACTCATTGATATATTTGCTATATAAAAAAACGAGGGTGAGATTCTCTATTTATTGATAAAAGGACCAAAGACATTTTTTTTCCGACTATTCCTAAATGAGCAAATCTGCAGTAGAAAAGATTGCCCAAACTGAACTAATATAAATGAGGAAGACAAATGTAGAAAGTTTCATGTTGAACATACAATCTATTAAAAGAACTCAATACATTACAGTCATAAATATGGCGTCCATGTAAGGAAGAGAAATGCACCTGTCCTACTGGGCGAACTCACTTCAATCAGTGGCAGGGTATCTGATCCACTGAGCTTACATCAGTTTAGGGTAGGAGAACTGGGGTATCGATCCACTGAGCTTACATCAATTTAGGATGGGAAAGTATGGCTATCTGACCTGCTATGCCAGCTCACGTCAGTTTGAGGCATGAGAACTGGAGTATCTGATCTGCTGAGATGGGTTAGCTCAGTAGATCAGATACTCCAGTTCTCATCCAAGGTATCTGATCTTTTGGGCCAACTCACCTCAGTTTGGGGTTGGAGAACTGCGGCATCTGATCTACTGGAGTAAACCCATGTCAGTTTGAGGTAAGAGAACTGGGGTATCTGATATTTGGGGCCATCTCAGTTAGGGTATGAAAACATGGCTATCTGATCTGCTAGACCAACTCACCTCAGTTTGAGGAAGGAGAACTGGGGTGTCAGATCCACTGAAGAGTGGATGGTTGTGAAACAGCTGCAGAAATACAAAACTTGGACTAACACCTCCTCTGAATTCTTTGCTTCGGCCTCCCTTCGCCCCCTTCGGATCAGTGTCGTCCGACTGTCTGACATCCTGGGCAGGGGACATCACAGAAATTGTGTGGCCTCTCTTTTTGACAGGTTGTAAATCTGAAACCTCATCTTGCACAGATGAGTCGTGGGAACTGCTGCCTGCCTGCTGCTGCCACTGCAAAGGGAAGGAAGGCCACATGCCAGGTACACTACATACAACATGAACCAACCCGTAAAGCATCCACAGTTTCACATCTCATTGCAGCACATTACGGTAAAACAAATAAGACTCCAATAGTTACAGCCAAATCTTAGGTAATTACAATTACCATTGAAGTCATATTTCACTTGGACAAACCGATCTAAGTGTGACTATAAGATAGCTAGGATTTAAGATCTTGATCTACGTTAAGATTAAAACATAGCTGTCTGTAAAAGTGCAAAGCTGTCTGTTTATAGGTAGTGTGGAACCAGTTGTTATATGACCTCCCTCGATTGCATATTGCCTCATCTAAATGGATGTTCCAGTTATGAGAAGGAAAAGACAACCATGCTTATGGCATACAGTTGTTTCCTGCATTGATAATGTAGTGAATGAGGATTCTGCAATACCCTCCTAAAGGCGAAACTCATATTTACCAATAATAACACATTGACATAGCAAGGTTCTTGCAAAGGTGAAGCATTTTACAAAGGGAAACAACTCCTAACACGAGAATGAACAGAATTTTCTAATAGGTCAAGATCATTACATGCGGACACTTTGTTCTTTCCTTCCCATTTAACCAAAAGTTATTGCTTGTCACCACAAGGTCCTGGTGTGTCTCTACAGTACTGACACTCCAACTAGTTCAGGACATATATACTGGTGTGCCTCACCAGTACTGTAGACACACCAGTATATATGTCCTGAAGTAGTGGAAGTGTCAGTACTGTAGCCACACCAGTATATATGTCCTGAAGTAGTAGAAGTGTCAGTACTGTAGGCACACCAGTATATATGTCCTGAAGTAGTGGAAGTGTCAGTACTGTAGACACACCAGTATATATGTCCTGAAGTAGTGGAAGTGTCAGTACTGTAGACACACCAGTATATATGTCCTAAAGTAGTGGAAGTGTCAGTACTGTAGACACACCAGTATATATGTTCTGAAGTAGTGGAAGTGTCAGTACTGTAGACACACCAGTATATATGTCCTGAAGTAGTGGAAGTGTCAGTACCGTAGACACACCAGTATATATGTTCTGAAGTAGTGGAAGTGTCATTACTGTAGACACACCAGTATAAATGTCCTGAAGTAGTGGAAGTGTCAGTACCGTAGACACACCAGTATATATGTCCTGGAGTAGTGGAAGTATCAGTACTGTAGTATATGTCCTGGAGTAGTGGAAGTGTCAGTACTGTAGTCACACCAGTATATATGTCCTGAAGTAGTGGAAGTGTCAGTACTGTTGTAGACACACCAGTATATATGTCCTGAAGTAGTGGAAGTGTCAGTACTGTTGTAGACACACCAGTGTATATGTCCTGAAGTAGTGGAAGTGTCAGTACTGTAGACACACCAGTGTATATGTCCTGAAGTAGTGGAAGTGTCAGTACTGTAGACACACCAGTATATATGTCCTGGAGTAGTGGAAGTGTCAGTACTGTAGACACACCAGTATATATGTCCTGAAGTAGTGGAAGTGTCAGAACTGTAGAGAGTGAGTGAGTGAGTGAGTTGGGTTTAACGCCGCTTTTAACAGTATTCCAGTTATATCACGGCATGTCTTAATGTGGGAGGAAAACCCGAAGTGATGCAGGTCTAAGACATTTACCACTTCGGTGAAACCCACGAGCACGGGTATGGTGCTGACAAACCTAGAAACCGGGATTCGAACCCACAATCATAGGATTCTGGCGTGCCCAAGGGACGCAACTCTGCATAGCGAATCGCGGCGCCTTAGACGACTGGGCCAACTGTGCCCCCCATGTCCTGAAGTAGTGGAAGTATCAGTACTGTAGTCACACCAGTAAATATATACCACTTCCACTACTTCAAGACATATATACTGGTGTGTCTACGGTACTGACACTTCCACTACTTCAGGACATATATACTGGTGTGTCTACAGTACTGACACTTCCACTATTTCAGGACAATAATACTGGTGTGCCTACAGTACTGACACTTCCACAACTTCAGGACATATATACTGGTGTGTCTACGGTACTGACACTTCCACTACTTCAGGACATATATACTGGTGTCTCTACAGTACTGACACTTCCACTACTTCAGGACATATATACTGGTGTGTCTACAGTACTGACACTTCCACTACTTCAGGACATATATACTGGTGTGTCTACGGTACTGACACTTCCACTACTTCAGGACATATACACTGGTGTGTCTACGGTACTGACACTTCCACTACTTCAGGACATATATACTGGTGTGTCTACGGTACTGACACTTCCACTACTTCAGGACATTTATACTGGTGTGTCTACAGTACTGACACTTCCACTACTTCAGGACATATATACTGGTGTGTCTAGAGTACTGACACTTCCACTACTTCAGGACATATATACTGGTGTGACTACAGTACTGACACTTCCACTATTTCAGGACATATATACTGGTGTCTCTACAGTACTGACACTTCCACTATTTCAGGACAATAATACTGGTGTCTCTACAGTACTGACACTTCCACTACTTCAGGACATATATACTGGTGTCTCTACAGTACTGTTATTATCTCAACGAGGAGAGGATAATTATGTAAAGCTTCAGACGAATCAGAACTTCAATGAATTCTTCAAGCAAGCATATTCTTCAATGTCAACAAAACATTGATCATGCTAGACACCCACCTGTTGAGAGGAGTCCTGTCTTCTGGCTACACATTCCTCTAAGAGTTGTAGAGGAGTTGAGTCTGTTTGACAATCTCCCAGGCTGGTTCCTTCTGATGGTACACCACCTGCGTGGAGACCCTGCTCCTCACCTAGTCCTCCCACTGCATGGAGGGTTGAGGGTACCTCTGCCTTGTGCTCCAGCACTACCTCTGTGCCTTCCATGAGTCTGTCGTCAGTCAACTGGTCTGGGAAGCCGGACTCTTCACTGTAGGACCCAAACAAAGAAGGAGAGGAACTTGTCTTACGCAGCGAGTATGGTGACTGAAAGTGCATGTTTGTGTTGGCTCCCCCATCAGTGGAGGGGTCACTGCTGGTCACTGTGAGGCAATGGTCCAAAGAAGACACGCTTGCCTGGACTGCAACTGATTCTCCCTGAAAGGCCAAAAAACACAAGTACAAATACCAGCAGGTTACAGGTTCCATCATATACACTCATATATCTACTTTCTAAGGTCATTTCAACATCGTTAGCTCGTACAGTGATTTTCAGGTTCAGCATAATCCAGTCAGGTTAAGTGTCTGAATTCTGTGCAATTAATATCTAATTATGTCTTAATTTGGATGAGCTAAAAATGTTGTCACGAATTTAAAGGATTCTGAGAATAAGTCCCAACATGCAACTCTTACATTAACAGACTTATTTTACACCTCAGCAAAGCAAGACATTACCAAATCGGGGTTGAAATGATGGGAAAAAATTGGGGTCACCGTGATGGAAGATAGTATGGATCCTAGTGGTGGAACATAGTATGGATCCTAGTGATGGAAGACAGTATGGATCCTAGTGATGGAACATAGTATGGACCTAGCGATGGAAGATAGCATGGACCCTAGTGATGGAAGACAGTATGGATCCTAGAGATGGAAGACAGTATGGATCCTAGAGATGGAAGACAGTATGGATCCTAGAGATGGAAGATAGTATGGATCCTAGAGATGGATCCTAGAGATGGAAGACAGTATGGATCCTAGAGATGGAAGACAGTATGGATCCTAGTGATGGAAGATAGTATGGATCCTAGAGATGGAAGACAGTATGGATCCTAGTGATGGAAGACAGTATGGATCCTAGTGATGGAAGATAGTATGGATCCTAGTGATGGAAGACAGTATGGATCCTAGAGATGGAAGACAGTATGGATCCTAGAGATGGAAGACAGTATGGATCCTAGAGATGGAAGATAGTATGGATCCTAGAGATGGATCCTAGAGATGGAACCTAGAGATGGAAGACAGTATGGATCCTAGAGATGGAAGACAGTATGGATCCTAGTGATGGAAGACAGTATGGATCCTAGAGATGGAAGACAGTATGGATCCTAGTGATGGAAGATAGTATGGATCCTAGTGATGGAAGATAGTATGGATCCTAGTGATGTAAGATGGTATGGATCCTAGTGATGGAAGATAGTATGGATCCTAGAGATGGATGACAGTATGGACCCTGAAGATGGAAAACAGTATGGATCCTAATGATGGAAGATAGTATGGATCAGTGATGGAAGATAGTTGGGGTCATAGTGATGAAAGATAGTTGGGGTCATAGTGATGGAAGACAGTTGGGGTCATACTGATGGAAGACAGTTGGGGTCATAGTGATGGAGGATAGCTGGGGTCATACTAATGGAGGATAGCTGGGGTCATACTAATGGAAGGTAGTTGGGTTCATACTGATGGAAGATAGTTGGGGTCATAGTGATGAAAGATAGTTGGGGTCATAGTGATGGAAGACAGTTGGGGTCATACTGATGGAAGACAGTTGGGGTCATAGTGATGGAGGATAGCTGGGGTCATACTAATGGAGGATAGCTGGGGTCATACTGATGGAAGGTAGTTGGGGTCATAGTGATGGAAGATAGTTGGGGTCATAGTGATGGAAGACAGTATGGATCCTAGTGATGGAAGACAGTATGGATCCTAGAGATGGAAGACAGTATGGAAGATAGTATGGATCCTAGAGATGGAACCTAGAGATGGAAGACAGTATGGAGCCTAGAGATGGAAGACAGTATGGATCCTAGAGATGGAAGATAGTATGGATCCTAGAGATGGAACCTAGAGATGGAAGACAGTATGGATCCTAGAGATGGAAGACAGTATGGATCCTAGTGATGGAAGATAGTATGGATCCTAGAGATGGAAGACAGTATGGATCCTAGTGATGGAAGACAGTATGGATCCTAGTGATGGAAGATAGTATGGATCCTTGTGATGGAAGACAGTATGGATCCTAGAGATGGAAGACAGTATGGATCCTAGAGATGGAAGATAGTATGGATCCTAGAGATGGAACCTAGAGATGGAAGACAGTATGGATCCTAGAGATGGAAGACAGTATGGATCCTAGTGATGGAAGATAGTATGAATCCTAGAGATGGAAGACAGTATGGATCCTAGTGATGGAAGATAGTATGGATCCTAGTGATGGAAGATAGTATGGATCCTAGTGATGAAAGATAGTATGAGTCCTAGTGATGGAAGATGGTATGGATCATAGTGATGGAAGATAGTATGGATCCTAGAGATGGATGACAGTATGGACCCTGAAGATGGAAAACAGTATGGATCACAGTGATGGAAGATAGTTGGGGTCATAGTGATGAAAGATAGTTGGGGTCATAGTGATGGAAGACAGTTGGGGTCATACTGATGGAAGACAGTTGGGGTCATAGTGATGGAGGATAGCTGGGGTCATACTAATGGAGGATAGCTGGGGTCATACTGATGGAAGGTAGTTGGGGTCATAGTGATGGAAGATAGTTGGGGTCATAGTGATGGAAGATAGCTGGGGTCATAGTGATGAAAGAAAGTTGGGGTCATAGTGATGGAAGATAGCTGGGGTCATACTGATGGAGGATAGCTGGGGTCATAGTGATGGAAGATAGTTGGGGTCATAGTGATGAAAGATAGTTGGGGTCATAGTGATGGAAGATAGTATGGGTCCTAGTGATGGAAGATGGTATGGATCCTAGTGATGGAAGATAGTATGGATCCTAGAGATGGATGACAGTATGGACCCTGAAGATGGAAAACAGTATGGATCACAGTGATGGAAGATAGTTGGGGTCATAGTGATGAAAGATAGTTGGGGTCATAGTGATGGAAGACAGTTGGGGTCATACTGATGGAAGACAGTTGGGGTCATAGTGATGGAGGATAGCTGGGGTCATACTGATGGAAGATAGTTGGGGTCATAGTGATGGAGGATAGCTGGGGTCATACTGATGGAAGATAGTTGGGGTCATAGTGATGGAAGACAGTTGGGGTATAGTGATGGAAGACAGTTGGGGCCATAGTGATGGAAGACAGTTGGGGTCAAAGTGATGGAAGATAGTTGGGACCAAAGTGATGGAAGATAGTTGGGGTCATAGTGATGAAAGATAGTTGGGGGTCATAGTGATGGAAGACAGTTGGGGCCAAAGTGATTGAAGACAGTTGGGGCCAAAGTGATGGAAGACAGTTGGGGTCATAGAGATGGAAGACAGTAGGGGCCATAGTGATGGAAGACAGTTGGGGTCATAGTGATGGAAGATAGTTGGGGTCATAGTGATGGAAGATAGTTGGGGTCATACTGATGGAAGACAGTTGGGGCCATAGTGATTGAAGACAGTTGGGGCTAAAGTGATGGAAGACAGTTGGGGTCATAGTGATGGAAGACAGTTGGGGTCATAGAAATGGAAGATAGTTGGGGTCATACTGATGGAAGACAGTTGGGGCCATAGTGATTGAAGACAGTTGGGGCCATAGTGATTGAAGATAGTTGGGGTCAAAGTGATAGAGATAGTAGGGGCCAAAGTGATGGAAGATAGTTGGGGCCAAAGTGATGGAAGACAGTTGGGGTCATACTGATGGAAGACAGTTGGGGCCATAGTGATTGAAGACAGTTGGGGCCAAAGTGATGGAAGACAGTTGGGGCCAAAGTGATTGAAGACAGTTCGGGCCAAAGTGATTGAAGACAGTTCGGGCCAAAGTGATTGAAGACAGTTGGGGCCATAGTGATTGAAGATAGTTGGGGTCAAAGTGATAGAGATAGTAGGGGCCAAAGTGATGGAAGATAGTTGGGGCCAAAGTGATGGAAGACAGTTGGGGCCAAAGTGATTGAAGACAGTTCGGGCCAAAGTGATAGGGATAGTAGGGGCCAAAGTGATAGAGATAGTAGGGGCCAAAGTGATGGAAGATAGTTGGGGTCATAGTGATGGAAGTCAGTTGGGGCCAAAGTGATTAAAAATAGTTTGGGTCATACTGATGGAAGACAGTTGGGGTCATGGTGATGGAAGACAGTTGGGGCCAAAGTGATTGAAGATAGTTGGGGTCATACTGATGGAAGATAGTTGGGTCATAGTGATGGAAGACAGTTGGGGTCATAGTGATGGAAGAGAGTTGGGGGCCATAGTGATTGAAGACAGTTGGGGCCAAAGTGATGGAAGAAAGTTGGGGTCATAGTGATGGAAGACAGTTGGGGTCATAGAAATGGAAGATAGTTGGGGTCATACTGATGGAAGACAGTTGGGGCCATAGTGATAGAGATAGTAGGGGCCAAAGTGATGGAAGATAGTTGGTGTCATAGTGATGGAAGTCAGTTGGGGCCAAAGTGATTGAAGATAGTTGGGGTCATACTGATGGAAGACAGTTGGGGTCATAGTGATGGAAGACAGTTGGGGTCATACTGATGGAAGTCAGTTGGGGCCAAAGTGATGGAAGACAGTTGGGGTCATAGTGATGGAAGTCAGTTGGGGCCAAAGTGATGGAAGTCAGTTGGGGCCAAAGTGATGGAAGACAGTTGGGGTCATACTGATGGAAGACAGTTGGGGTCATAGTGATGGAAGACAGTTGGGGCCAAAGTGATAGAGATAGTTGGGATCATACTGGTGGAAGTCAGTTGGGGCCAAAGTGCTGGAAGACAGTTGGGGCCATAGTGATGGAAGATAGTTGGGGTCATAGTGACTGAAGACAGTTGGGGTCATAGTGGTGGAATGGAAGAAAGTTAAGGTCATAGTGATGGAAGACAGTTGGGGTCATAGAAATGGAAGATAGCTGGGGTCATAGTGATGGAAGACAGTTGGGGCCAAAGTGATTGAAGACAGTTGGGGTCAAAGTGATAGAGATAGTAGGGGCCAAAGTGATGGAAGATAGTTGGGGTCATAGTGATGGAAGTCAGTTGGGGCCAAAGTGATTGAAGATAGTTGGGGTCATACTGATGGAAGACAGTTGGGGTCATAGTGATGGAAGTCAGTTGGGGCCAAAGTGATGGAAGTCAGTTGGGGCCAAAGTGATGGAAGTCAGTTGGGGTCATACTGATGGAAGACAGTTGGGGTCATAGTGATGGAAGACAGTTGGGGCCAAAGTGATTGAAGATAGTTGGGGTCATACTG